CCCTCGTATCGGCTGCAGGAGTCCAAATCAAGCCCTCGTACGAGCTGGGTGAACTCGCACGGGATGCGAACTGGAAAGCTTGCCCTCGTGTGTGTGTGTGTGTGTGTGAGAGAGAGAGAAGAGAGAGAGAGAGAGAGAGAGAGAGAGAGAGACATAGTGATTCGCATGCACCTGGACCACAGCTACGACCCGAATCATGTCCGCCATTGGGCCTCTCCGGACATGTGTTTTGAGGGTATCGCGACATCGGCGTGGCTTATGAAACGCACGAACAAATGTACGTGGTCGTCATTCGAGTCACATGCATGCACTCGCACCCAACTAAATAGCTTTACGGTGTGAAACGGTTGTGAGGAGCTGCGCCGTCAGCCCGTATATGCAGGCGGCCACTAAGGGTCTGACATCCCGCAGTGATGACGAATCGGGAAAAACATAATCGATACGCAAGAAAAAGAAAAAAAAGGAAGCGTTGAGCTAGCTGTTTGCTTTTTTCCCTACAGCTAGCTCAACGCAAACGTCGAAGGGTAGGGGGCGTTCTAAACGAGGTAATCCAGTTTTACACGCATTTCCCGTCGAAGAAAAGAAAGTATTTCGGCGAATACGGAACATCACAAAAATCGACCGCCCGATGTACAGCGGACCGCCCCATCCCGTGCGTCGCCCTGTGCCACACGGCGTTGAAAACCCAACGTTGAGCAACCTCAACGGTGTAAGTGGGACGAGGCCCCCGGTTACAAAAAAAAAAAACGAAAGGTATAGATGGGACGGCCAAGGGAAAAAAAACAAGCGAGCTGCGCGCGTTGGCGCACGTCTTCGTCGGGCGCACTCACACTATCACTATCATAAATGTATTGGATGGCATTTCCACCCGTACCTGTATGCATTTTCCATCCAGGAAGAAGTGAAAAAGGTGCTACCGGTAGTGGGAGTGTGCTCTTTTCCTTCTTCTTCTTTTAATTGGAAGGATTGGAAGGATACAGAGAAGATTAGTTTTCGGGATAATTTGCAGAATATATGCCGAAATGCCCCTGAAAGATGTGCGTAGAGGGGAATGCCCTTTTGGGAGGAAATCTTTGTGTGTTTTGTGCCCCTGTCAGGAGGGTGTGCAACAGGGGCATTTTGCAAAGTTGGACGGTACCCAGTAGTGGTATATTGCGAAGATGGGGGTCCAACAGATGCTAGAGGGGTCTTCGCTCTACCCACATCTTTAGGGGCATTTTGGCATACACCTCACCTTATGGGGGTATTTAGCAAATTATCTCTAAGTGGTTTTTTTTGTTTTTTGTTTTTTCTTTTTTCCCCACTAATACCTCCGCCAATGTTGGGAAATTACGAGGTTTTATCCAGCGGCCTAGCTCAGTTGGTAAGGCATGCAAGTGGCATTCAGGAGGTCTTGGGTTCAATCCACATTGGCCTCATGAACCTTCCTGGGCAAGCTTGGCGCCTGCCACCTAGAGATATGTAGTTGGTCCCCCCAAGTGGCATCGAGTAGAGACTGCTGATGTTCATAGGGGGAGGGGACCGGAGGGGAGGCACAGTGACTGGCCCATCGAAGAAGCTATTGTAGGTCCTGATGCTACCGGCTGATCCCTGGCCGGTATCGCCCACCTGCTGGTGCGTACAGCTCCCGCATGTTCCCTCGTTGGAGGCTTGAGCACGGATGTGGCTGCTACGGGGTTCCCCATAATACTATAACTAGCTAAGCGCCCGAGGTGCAGGCTGTGCGGGCCACGCCCTCATAAATAAGAGTAACTGGCTACGAAGTCCGAGTTTAATTCACGAATTAAAAAAATGACAAATAGAAGAAGAAAAAAAAAAGAGAAAACTAGGGTGCGGTCAGGGTTAGAGTTAGAAAATGCACTCCAAACTCTCTTTCTGCAGTCTAGTCAGGACCGAAGTTAAAAATGCAGTCCAAACTAGACTAAGCAGAAAGGTCGCGCGGCGAAGTTTGAAAAAGCAGTCTAGTCACTCACGTCGGAGGGCCCTGTAGAGGCCCTGGCACAGGCCCGTGGGAGCGTGAAAATACCTGTGGTCCACAGTCTGCCCGGTAGCTTGCGCGGACCGTGATCCAGTTCGTAAGAGAGAGAGACAGGTGACACACGTGGACGTGGACACACACACACACACACACACACACACACACACACACACACAGAGAGAGAGAGAGAGAGAGAGAGAGAGAGAGAGAGAGAGAGAGAGAGAGAGAGAGACCCTCTCCTTCCTCCCTCCTGTCTACTTGCTCCACCACACAACGATTCGCTCCGCTTGCCTCGCTCGTGCGCCGCGCGGCCATGAGCACGAGTGACCCGCCACCGTACGGGCAGGAAGACAGAGCG